TATAAGCAGGGGCGGACCCACATGGGGACAATTTTTTTTTAACCTAACACTTAGCCCATTTGAAAACTCTCCAACCCAGTAGCCCATTTACTCAGGCCCAAACCCAATTTGTTATTTAGATAATTAAACCCAATTCTCAAACCCTATAAGGCTATACATGTGCACATGGTTACTGATTTTCTTCCAAGCAGAATTCGCCCCTGAGTCCCTGACCGAAACCCTTTACTATCTATGGCGTCCGCCATCCGCCGAAGCCCGCCTTGTTCTTCTTCAATCAGCCTGACATCCGCCGAAGTCAGCCATTCTCCCTTATAGGTGTGTTATCAATTCTCTATGCTAATTTCATCTAATTGTTTTGATAGCAAATCTGCAAATGATTTATGGATAGTAACCTTGCTATTTATCAAGCACAATTGCAAATGAAAATACTGATTTATCAATAATCAACCCTAATCTGTGAATGTGACTGTTTTTTTTTTTAATTTGAAATCCTAGAGGATTGCAAATGAAAAAGCTGACAAATACTGTCTTTGTACTTATCTAGCCGATCCCAAATTGGTATGCTTGATTATATTTAACTATCACCTTGAAAATTGATGACTTTAAGGACTTGATTTTTGAAATGGAAAACTTCCAGTCAGGTCATATTTCATGTTTTCTTATAATTCATGATGTTGCAAGGTTTATTACAAATTTTGATTATATTCTAGCTTATTTGAACCTAAAGATCATTTAAGAAATGGGAGTTTCAGTTGGGTTTTCAGTGGCAAAACATCACTTAGGTAAAGGTTTTCAGTTCTTTGACTTTTTCAATGACTCATTGCATAGTTTTAGCTCACAAATTGCAATTCTTTATGCTGGCATAGACAAAGATAGATGCATTTTGAAGGTTTTTTTTTTTTTTTTTGTTTTCAACGTTTAAAAGAGTATCTAATTTTTATTTTTATTTATTTTTATCTTTTTTGGGAAAATATTGTTTCGTTTGAATTTTATACGACATTTTCAGGGTATGAAAACGCGTAGGCTACAGCTGTAATATCGTATTGACTTNGAAAACGCGTAGGCTACAATTATAATAGCGTATTGACTTCTTTTCGTTAATGATATGTAGTTCTAAATATTTTTGAATTCTCATTTTTTACCCCACAAGACAAATGGTCTGCATCTGCACCTGCTTATAAGGGCCTATTAGCATTAGCAGCTCCACTGAAATAATAAAAAATGAAAAATTTGGCCTTGAAGGATAATACAGGCATGTAAAACAAAGCTAATAACGTGAATTGGTTGTGAACGTGACAGCGTTGAAATATTTTCAATTGGCACCATGATTCAACTTAATCTCTCATAAAACAGAGATCTTCAGCTCGAATCTTATGAGACATGATAGAAAGTCGTAAAGGATCAAAATGATAGGTGTCATCTCAAAATAGATAGTACTATAATGCAATAGATTTGGCACAAGGCTTGAGTGGTATCTGCCCTCTTAATATCGGGCACGAGGCTCGAATGGTTACAAATTAGGTGTTACTATGGTTGGCACCGGACTGGGGTTGGAGGATTGATTGATTGGAAGTTGGAACTTGAGTTAATAGGTTTTTTCCAATTTGAATGGTGGGGAAGTGGGAAATAAGAACCAAGATTGTGTAATGGTTTGGGAACTTTTAGTTGGATGAGTTCATAATTGATTTTAATTGGGCTAAAAAAAATTTGTGGGCACGGAATCTTTGGGCTGGAAACGGTTATTGTGCTAGAACCCGAGTTGCCACTAAATTTTGTTTTGAACTTCACAATGGATTTGGACTGGAGCTAGATGGGACTACAGCTCAGTCCAGCCCCTAGACCACCTCCTTATCCATCATCTTAATTGTTTATTAATCTAATTATAGTTCTCATTCACCTTGAGAATTCTGCCCCTGTTTATCTTTCATTCTTTGAAAAGAAAAAAAAAAAAAAAATTCTACATATTCATTTTCAATCGCATATTCAAACAATAAAATATTCTACATGCAAACTCAAAAATTTTTCTTACATTTTAACAACAGATTCTCCAAAAAAATCACTATTTAAAATAATATTTTTTTCAGAAAAATGCCCACCAAACAAGGGCTCAATATTAAATACTATAGAGTATTGTTATTTTATCCACACTACACATGATCACCAAACGAGATGAATTAAATGATAAGATAAACAAAGTAAGTCTCATACTCATATATTTAATTGACATTATCATTTCAATAACATTATTCGATGCTAAAAAAAATTAAAAATTAAATTGTTATAACTCGAGCACGTTTGTCATAAGAACCCTGCTATGAGCACAAGAATTTTTCACAGAAAACATACAGAAATTTGAAATGAAGGGAAATGATTGAAAGATTGGAGGAGGGAAAATACACACACACGGACAGGATTGAAGTAATTCAAATTTCTGGCAAAAATTCTTGTATTCAAGGAATTTTCTTTGTCATAATTACATTGCATTCATCATTGTTGTACAGTCACATGGTAATTATAGATCTCCGTGATTCAGAATTATAAATGAATTCTCTATCATCATTAAGTAATACTATTATAGTTCGAGTTGATTTGAACTTATAATCATGAAATCAACTTAATCAAAAACTCTAGGAGTACAAGAAGAAACTTAAAAATATAATAACTCTCTTTAATTAATGACAACTCTCCTATTACAAGAAGAAACTTCAAAAATTAGACTAGAAATAAAGAAACTTCTTAATTATTAAAAATTAAAGGCTTTTCATAAAACAATTTAAAAGAACTAAAATATAACTCTTGTATAAAATTGGGGACCTCCACTGCTATTTCCCCGAAAAATTTCCAAATTCTGGAGCCCTAACCCCTATGCTCTTGAATTCCCTCCTAACAGGAAACGAACTTCACCTCTCAGCCACACCTGTCAGCCGTGATCACCGTTTGTAGTCCCGTTAGCCGGCCACTTACAACCGTACTGCCCTCTTCTACACATCCAAATGGGGTTCTTCGACCTGAACATCCCCTACCATGAATCTGACCGCCACGTTATCGATAAATCCTCTCTAAAATCCCGCCGCCTAAAGCTCGCCCTAAAAGCCATGGAACTCGGCTACACTGGAGTGGCCTACAACCGTACCCTCAAAGGCGTGATTTCGGAATCTGACCGCTGCGTAATCCCTCTCTTCCCTCTCTCCTCCCTCTTAAAAGTCGCACCTTCTTCCTCGTATTTCTCCGCCTCCGTCAAGTTCCATCGGGAGCTTCTAAACGTCGACGTTTCATCCCCCTTCCGCCAGTACACTCGCCTTACATTAATTGTCGATAGTGCTGCTCCCGTTCTCAAGTCTAGCAATGGAATTCTAAAGAGTTACGATATAGTTGCTGTTAGACCCGTAAATCAGAACGCCTTTGATCAGGCCTGTAAAATCTCCGAGGTTCGATTTTTAATAAATTGAACTCGTTTTAACTCTTGATGGACAATGTACATTGTCGGGGTATAATGTGTGCTATTGAGACGTTTGTATTTGATATTGAACGTGTAGGTGGATATTATCGCCATTGATTACTCTGAAAAGTTGCCTTTTAGGTTGAAGCACCCAATGGCTAAAGCTGCAATCAAGGTTTGTGTTTTA